TAATTAGTACTTATTTTATATTAATATGAGTTTTTCAGTCCCATGGGCCAAAAAATAACTTTCAAAACACTCCTAGCAGTCGGGCTGTCAGCAGAGCAAATCACTGTCAGCAACTAACTTTTGTCAGTAACTAATCTATACTTCGGGTTGATCTCTATTAGACTGAGCAAATGTGCGTGATTCGAGATCAGAAGACGGTTTTTGGAGCAAGATAACTCATAGAGTATTTAGCAGAATCACCCAAGATGCGCATTAAAAATGGAAAATTTCTGGCCCCACATCAGCTGTACTGAATTATAATAGAATCTTTTGGGTGTATGTACTGGAAATCTGCATTTTAACAAGTTCCCATTGATTCTCAGGACTGTCGTTACAGAGGGCTACTGCTCTTCCCTCTGGAACTCTCTGAAATAAGAGATAACAAACAAGTAAAATTCCTGACCATTTTATCACGAACCATTCTTATCTGAATATGTGTGCTCTGATTTTATTGTTGGAAGGTTCAAGAGTGGGTAAGGGGAAGACTGGGAAGAGAGAACTATTAAGGAAGGGATATTTTTAGCAATGAGCACCAAGAAATAAAAAAGTAGAATAAAAACTGCCAAATAAGCAAGGCACACAGCCCTGCAGTGCAACCCGCTCTCAAACCCCCAGACCCAGTAGGTCTTTAAAATGATGTCCCTGACAGGGATGAAATTGAAAACAGCTGCTGTATGGATTTGCACAGGTTCGTACTCCATATAAAATGTACAATTTCTTTTGAATTCACATTTTCCTTTGTATCCCTCTGACTTTAGTTCATTGTCATTTATTACTTAATCTGATTCTCTTTTGTCCTAGACAAGTGAGGACTTTAGACTGAGAAAGGTCAATTTAAAGAGGCAGAAATTTGAGGAGAAAAATAGAAAGAAAGACACATCAACCAAATTCCTCATCATCGAAGGGCCTGGGTGGAGAGGAGAGTCCATCCATAAAGCAAAAGGACAGAAACTGGAGAAACAGGATGTTAAGAGCTGTGAAGGCTCTGCCATGGTTTCATGGATGCTGTCAGAAGACAGAGACAAAGGGCAGTTTATTACTCATAGGAATGGCAGTAGTCCGCATACTGTCATTTTCTCGCATCAGTTTCTCAAGCTCCAATTTCAAAGGGTGATACGATAAGGTGACGCCTGTACACAGTGGGTTTATGTCATAGCTGAAACACCCTGAACTTAGGAAACTCAAATTTTATATAAGAGTAAAGAGCAAACAAACCTGCCCTTTGCCACAGGGGGAGAAATTATCTTTATTATACTGAACTGTAAACAAATCTGTCCTTTGCTCCATAGGAAGAACTACTTCTATCCTCCAAGAATGTTAAAAGATAGTCAGGAACAAAAGCTGTCAGTGCCCCTGGCTTGTAAGATCTGTAGAAATGCAAGAGACCCATGAAGAATTGTCTTCCAACACCAGCTGGAAGCAGGAAAGTTAGAAGTAGAGCCTAGAGATACTCCATCGGTTGAAGAAGGTGGTTTAGTTGCTTTTTTAGGGTGTCAGACACCTTAGAATAGGTAGGAAAGAAGAGTTTGTTAATCACTTTAACTTAAGAGGGAAAACAGGAAAGACCAAAGGAGCAGTAAAGAAAAAAAGGTGCTTTTTAAATCATAACACAGACTTCCTTTTTTGGGAACAAATTTCAGGTAGATAAAATATAGTCATAATCAATGTACTGCTACACACACAATATTTACTTCTTTCACATTTAAAAAAAAA